TTTGAGGTCCGTTGTGAGGTATGAAAAAGACGGAAGAAAGTTGGTAACTGTTCGAATCGCTTCGTTTTAATCCACGCTCATGCGCCATCAGTACGAGTATCCTAGTTTTGAAGGCAATACTTATAGCTACGTAAGCAGCACTTTGCGTAGTCTCTTGCCTCTCTTTCACAGGTGGCAGCTATTTTTGTCTTCCTTACAAAAGCATAAAGAGTGGCTTAATCACGATCCAAATCTACGATCTAATGAATGAATTGTCCAAATTTGCGACGCAAATCATTTTCAGTTCTATCCGTTTTACTACTGGCGGTATGTGACTCTTCGCTTGTTCATTGTCTGACGTTGTCGACAATAATTCGTAGTTGATCAGGTGAAGATGCAAATTTCCGCCATGGCCTTAATTAATTTTTTTAACTGATGGACTTCAAGAGTCCATCAGGCGCATATGTTTATCATCGTCGAATGGTCGACCGGTCGATACAGCGTCAGGGAACGGCCAAGCGTGCGAATGAGCAGCGACTGACAAAAGAAAAAAAGCCAACAGTTACAGTGCTCAGTCAAATGCTTGCTGCTGTAACAAAGAGGAACGAGGAAAATAAACTTTTCAAAATCGAAACTAAACAGTCAACGGCTATTAATATTAGATCGACGCGTAAAATATCATCCCAAACAAGTAATCAACCTGAGAATCAGCTTCGATCAGCCGTTGACTGTGCTGCATGGTGACAACAACCAAAATCGATGTCTCAACCGCAAATTACGGTGTTAAATATTAATAACAGCGTCAAAAACAATATATTTTGCAACGAAAACATCGACGCGACTTCTTACATACGAAGGATCGCAAATCCGCATCGATTAAATAAATAATCAAATGTGACATGAAACTGAGGCATCGAATCTTATCGAACTCAAGCCATGAAGCATTGTTTGGTGCCTCATTCACGCTGTTGCCAAGCCTTCAATCAGTGCATCGTTCGCGATCGTTTTTACTGCGTAATGTATTTTGATTATACAGTCAGTGCGGTTAGCGCTGCTGGCAATTGATACTGCTGTAATGAAAGACTGCCAACACTGAAGGGTCATGTGAAACGGACAGAAACCTGTCTGTCCAAGGTTACAAATTTCTTTTTTTTTTTCTATATGAGCAAAAAGCTTTAAAATCTACTTTAATACATACGGCGAGGATACAGTTTTGCAAGAGTAAGCAGCTGCACAAGAATACGTATTAACTTTACCACAACTACAGTATACACGTTCTGCATCACCAACATTTGCCTGGTTGAGCAAGCAGTTGAAATCCAGGATTTCGATTGAGTTCGTGAACGCGATTACGTGTCTCTCAAGCTACGTAGAGCAAAATGACATTTATGTCATACAGGATTTTCACTCAACGACAGACGGCTCACTCGGCTTCGATTTGATGACGACGTCGTCAGTGTTTTGGTGACGAAAGCAAAATAAGTTGAAACGGTGATATGCCAGTTGGATTTTGTATAAGCAGGGGGATGAAGAATATGAGGATGGCAAACAAAATCGCCCAACTAGCTACAGTTACCACAAAGGATTACCAAAAGCAACAAGCAATCACCAATAAGGTCTAAATGGGAGAGCAGATTGTCTCGGGCCATTGATAGCTCCTTTGGTTCAGAGCTCGTTAGAAGACACATGCGGCCTGGAATACACACAGAAAATACGGTGACATTTTTCAGAGCGAAAAATTATTAATGCTTGTAGTTATGTATGAAAATCCGGCATTGTCAAAACTCTAAATGGTTACCAGACCTAGACACTGACGAAAAAGAATGAATCTGATATCACGAGTGCTGCAGAGGGCCATAAAAACAACGATGCCAGGAATTTTCATGACGGGCAAGCTGACAAATGAAGAAACAAGAGCCACGTTCAAAAGAAAGAATAAGACAATGAGCACACCACAAAACGCACGACTTTTGCAGTGAGAGGTTGCAAGCGTTCAGCTACAAGACCTTTGTTCAGATGAGGCGATGAACCAAGGACGAAACAAACTAAGAATGAGATATGGAAGCTAGTCGTGACAGACATGACTGACGACAGACATGAACATCAAGGCTAGGACGGATGCTGATCAAAATTAATTACGAAGATGGAACGAAGGCTTTGTCTGTATCACTAGCTTTTATCAACTGTAAACATATAATGGATCAGTATCAATGCATCAGAGTAAAAGAAAATTTTTTGTGTATGTAGTAAAGCAGTGATGAGACAGTAGCTGTACCGGCAGCAATATCGGTACAGTCGTATTCTTCTTCTTCTTCTTGTTCGAAGCAATACATTCGTAATTGTAACATAAGCGCTTAACTTATCGAAATACGGATCTCATAG